ACTTTTCTATGAGAGAGGTGTTAACGTGTTCATCCTAGAAAAGGAAATTAAATATATGATTGACCTTTTAAGAGTGTTCATTACAACTATTGTATTTATTTTATTTGCTGTGAAAACTACGATTTTTAACTGTTACTAATTTAAATACGTAAACAGTTTGTTTGTGTTAAAACTTTCAATTTAAAATTTAACATTTACTTTTTAACATAATTTTGACGATTAGTTATTAGAAATAGCTTTTCAATAAATAATTGTATATAGATATCTTAATTTAAAAAATCTTATCATTTGTTATAACAAAAATAAATACCGTAATATCAATGTTGTTGTGAGAAAATTTGGCATTTGACAAACCTAAATAACACTTTTCTTAAGCACATTATTCACCTAAAATTAAAAGGTTTATGTAATATTTATTTTCTATACCAGTTAATTAAAACATATCAATAAAATTATCATTATGTTTTTTTTCTATATCTGTTTGATCAGTAATTTAATAATTTAATACACTTACTACATGTTCACTTGTCGGCTCTTGATGTACTCTAGCAGGGATCCACTCTCCTCCTCCGAAATTCAGTTTTACAAAAGCCCTTGATGCAGAAAATAGTTTTTTCCCAGTTGTTAGATGGAGAACTTCTTGGCTTGAGAAGTCTCTCTCGCTACAAGTTTGCACCAATAGCTTCTGTACAGCCTTCCTTGCGGGCTCAGTGTCATCTACTTTAGTTAGAATGTTCTCAAACATTTCTGCCATTGTTTTAGATTTGACCTACAATAATAACAATAATAATAATAAATTAACAATATTGTTAAAATATAAAAATCTATGCAAACCTTATGGTACCAATTTTTAAGGGATGAACATTGTATAATGGCAATTAAAAGTAAATCATATTATGTATAATTTTTACGTATATTTTTTATTCATTAGGGGTTTTATCTGTTAAATCCTTTTTTACTCCGTTTACTTATTATATTTTTATGATCAAGGTGTCATTTAAAAACTTATAACCTAGCCCATGTTATAATAAAATTTATATTAGTTAATCTTTGTTTAAATTTTCATTACAAGTTTTCAAATTAAAATTTTAGTAAATTAGTGAGTTTCAGCAATTGAAGGAAATACCCAAAGACATTTATTAAGATAATTGTGCAAGAAAGCATATATACATATATTATACTTAAGCAAACATTACTTGTACAAGACTTTAGGAATATGTCATTGTAAAAAATATTATATTTGAATTTTTTCTTACCTCCGATTTACTGGCATATTTTGCCATATAGTTGAGGAAGGCATCTTTGGACATGACAGCCGTGATGTCCATGTTGGCTCGCCACAACTGCAACGTCCACGGGTTATATTTATTAAGAAGGGCGTCATTTCTCTTAGTTACAAGTTCCATGACTCCCTTCTCATTGGTGTAAACGTGGGTTATGTCACTGAGGTCAAATGGGAATTTGTACCGGCATTCTAATTGGTTTGTCCTTTTATTTTTTCGGAGACAATAACTGGTAGAGCAGCGGGTGTGTCGCTGTACTTTATTCACCAATTCTGAGAGATCCACTTGCCGGTCTTCCACTTCCAACAACCGTTTCCGACATGGATGTATTTCTGCAAGTGGAGTGTTGAGCCCCGGATTCATGGTACAAATCAGGTTGTCGAAATACCTAAAGAAAATGATCGTTATAGCATTGAGTATTGGATACAGAAGTTGCTGGGTCATAACAGTTGCTACAGTTCATTACAAGTCATTCCATTAGTTTTACTTGGTAAAAACCAGCCGTGTAATCAGCAGAAATCAGTAATTTATACCAGCACAATCTGTAGGTTGCTCACATCAACTAAGACAAATTTGATTAAAAAGCTGGCGACAACTTTAAAATGGGGATGGAATGTCTAGTTGTGTTATGGTTATATGATTTTTTTCTATTCAAATGTTTTTTTTTTAATATTTGTATTATAATATTTTGTTTGTAACAGTTGCTTTCAAATACCTCACCTATTATAACAGAATAGTTAAATAACTTGATAGTGTGTATTAGTGAATTTCCCATATAGGGAATAAGCTATTACCGTAGTACTAATGGTAAGACCTGGACCTGGGACCGATTTACTTTATTGTTTTGAGCTCCCTAGAGGCCAAAAAAACCATCCGTTCGAATTCATATATATATATATATATGTGTGTGTGTGTCCGTTAGCACAAAAACTCGACTCAAACAAAAATGATCCGATTTTGATGAAATTTGGTACAAACGTGTAAACCTACATTTATTCGAACGAGTTCGCGAACCAGCGTGATTGGACTATGGGGACGGGGGCCTATGGGGTAAAAATAGGTTTTTCCCATTTTCGACCTTAAAAACACAAAATTTCACAATTCATTCCAAATTATTATGTAGAGCTTAAAAAAAACAAATAATTTAGTATATTGAAGCGTTATTATGCGCCTAATGGTTATGGAGAAAATTCAAAAAAAATGTAAATTTAAAATTCCCATGCTATTCTTATGGAGAATAAATTAACTGTTATAGTTTGTTTGTTTATGAACATATTTTGATTAAATTTGGAAAATACATTCATTTCTTATTAAACCACAGTATTACCGTTTAACAGCAAAAAAACATTTTTATCCTTCTGGTAGCAGCAAACCTAAGTAGGTACTCGTTAAACTAAAAATATTTAATAGGGAATAAAAGTGATAATTTTAAAGAGACATTTGAGTGTAAATCCAATCAGGCAAACGGAAATTCGCTTAGTCTGCAGGTTTGCTGTGGCGGGGGTATATTTAATATCACATATAAAAACATAAATTTCTGTATCAATTTGTGTAAATTAAAGCGTATGGGGAAAGCACTAACTTTTAAAAGTCTGACACTATTAGCATCTTTGCCGCAATCTTATACTTGAACTAAAGTTTATTACAAAAAAATAAAAAAGTTTTAGTTTTGGATGCAGTTTTTAACATGGAAATACTATATCACACATTTTCATAAATAAACAAGTTAAATTGTTGATTTTAATTTTTCAATATTAAGGATCAATACTCACCCAACAACCTGATTTAATTCCTCCTCTGTCATCTGTGATAGTCGAGTGACATCGGGCGCATCCTTCAGCCACAGAAGCATGTGGATGTGTGGGCTTCCGCGATGCTGCCACTCGTATCGTCGCCAGAAGTCCTTCACACCAAGCTGCCTCGAGAGAATTTGGTCGAGAAAGAATTCTGTTCTTTCGTAAAAGAACCAACTTGGCGTAAGTGGGTTATCTGCCACAAGTCGACGTCTTTCAAGATCAGTTGCCTCAACATTGCCAAAAATTCGAGAAATATCTGGCCAGTGAAGGTCAGCGGCACTCAGTGTTAAAAACACTGTGGGCAGGCCAAGCTGTGCTTCCATGTCGAGAAGCTCACCCAGCCGAGCTCGCCAGTAGGGCCGAGTACCTGTAATTTGATAACCTTAAAGTAAACTATTTATTTTAATATTGCAATACTTCTGTTTTAACATGATATAGGTTAATTAAAATAAAGTAATGAACTTTTTTATTACTTGATTAACCAAACTAATGTAAATATTAAAAACATTTTTCAGATGATTGTAAAGCTACTACAGTATTCAGATTGGTAATACAAAATCTTGATCAATTCCATAAGTTTTAGAAACAAAAGTCATATTAATCCCTTATTATTCAATTGGTAAACGGAATAAAGAATGAATATTCCTTACAAGATACTAAGAGCGAATATGCTATGCATAAATGTTTGAATTTCTATATGTTAAAAATATGGTACAGAAACATTGTCATGCATCTATGTGTAGTCAGTGACTGACAAATTTTTAAGGCTGTTGCAAGTAAAGCTTTGTATAGATAATAATTATAAAGTTGACTAAATAACGCCAATTACCTCTTAGCTTGTTTGCATAAAACATAATTTTTTTCACGATGGATGGATCTCGCTTCATCATTTCTTTTAGATCTTTGATTGATTTCCCAATCAACTCCTCATGCCGCCGTACAAACAAATTGCCAGATCTAAGGGCGCTCCACCTCATTTCCGAGTTAAGGGCAAAAAACCTTTAAAACAAATTACACAGACTTATAATAACAATTTCAAACGTTACAAATATTTTGAAAATATCAAAAGACTTGCACTTGGTATACTTTGTGTTACCACTTACGTGATATTTACCTTTGACTTTAATATCTAAGAGAAAACTGTCAATTATGCATTTTATAAACTACTGTTAAATTACTTCAGTTTGAGTTAGGTCAGGATTGTGTGAGCAGAGGTTTTTATTTGAGGGAATTGTGTACCATAAATTAATCATTTCTCAAAAGAACATTCTATATACATATTTGTATTTATTGAAAAATATTTAATTTCTATAATCAAATGTTCTATTGTATATATGTTACGACGGGGATCATGGGTTACTTCCTTTTTCTTAAATTGCAATGGATTTACTTTACAGAACCTACCATTTTAAACATGTGAATTTTTACAAAAAATATTAGTCAGGTTTTTTATTGGCAAAAAATATAATATTCCTCGTATTTTCTGAGGTTTACTTATAGTGGCATGATTAACCTGGTTATTCTGATTGAAGACAATTATTAGGAAAAATGACTCAAAATCTAGAAACTGTTTGACTACTAACCTGAACCGAGGATCATTGGCAAATCGGTGGTCATGAAAGAGCATGAGGTGCTTGAAGTACTCAGTTGGGGAAATCTTACTCTCTCGAGGATTAGATAAATCTGCATTTCCAGTCGGAAACAATGCTGGAAATGCTTGTGTAATGTAGCCCGGAGTCCTGAATTCCTCAATTGGGTTACTGCCGATGGGAGGCCAATCCAGAACAGCCGCAACTTGGGCATCCTGGTGAGGTGTCGTCATACTGGGAACGCTAGTTTCTATTACCTGTATAAATTTATATTTTTAAGTTAGTTTAAAATTTAATTGTTTATTTCTTGCAGTTCTTTACTACTTTTTTAAACTAACCCCCTTTATTAGAAAAAATGCATGAAATAATTACAAAATAATACATTTAAATTATGATATGCAATCACTCCTAAAGAATATTCACCAGTCTAGTGGATTTACTATACACAAAAAAATCTGATAAATAATTGTTTTATAAAGATTATTCTCTTATGCAAAGGTATGACTTCATGTTAATATTTTTTCGTAACAATCATGGGAAAAGTAAAATTATAAACAAAATCTTACCATGGTGTTAAAGTACTGTACTAATACTTCTAACCCAAATATTAGTAAATGCAAAACAAGCTTATCTCATTAATCAGATCGGATTTTAAATAAAAATATAATAATACCTCATTTTCCAAAGCATCCTGATTTTCTGACTCCCCTTCTGATGCATCAAAAAATGAAGGCAGAAATGCTGAAGCGTCCCCATCCTCAGGCAGTAACGCCATGTTCTCATCAGATATTGTGATATCAAAATAATATCGGTTATTCTGCTTGAGCCACATAAGGGCTTTCTTGACCTATTGAATCAATAATTTAACTATCAATTTTCTTTCATTAATAATTGTTATGTAATGTTTTTTAATAATTACACCACGTCATAGTCTGATCTTTCTTAAAACGTGCCTACTTGTACTTAAATAAAGCACCAGAATAACCGAGCCTTCTTTAGTAATTATTAACTCCCCTCTGGCTGGACAACCTAATAAAATCAAAGGCACACTTTTGTTTTTAAAACAACACAAATATGAATGCTGGACCAACAAGATTAAGCTATAAAAAATGTATGAATTATATCCATCTAACTTTATAGCAATCCAATTCCAGCTGAGTATAAAAAAACAACATTATTTTGGCATATTTTAGCTTTGCATTAGGTCTTTATCGGGAAGCTGGTGAATAATTTAGAATAAGACAGAAGAAGAACACTGTCTATCTTATTTTTATTTTTAGTTTTACATATTGCATGAATTCATCTTCGTATTTCTATGAGGGTTCATCTATATCCTATTTCAAAATAATAAGTTTGTTAGATTATTAAATGGAATGTAAACCAAAGTATGTTGTCTGTAACTGCTAATGAAAACAAATATGAACATTATACAAAAATGTGCCGTTTGCTCAAGGGACCCCTAAAAGTAATTGATATTTACCTTACTGGCCCTAACATGGAAGTCCACGTAGTCAGTGGCACTGTTCCTCATCCGCACAACAATCACAGCAGACAAGCTGGTGATACGGTGAGGCAGAACTGCCGCAAACTCCTCAACCGCTTGTGGGAAGTTGATGACGTTGCCGCTGTAGCCTAGTTGGTGTCCCTTGATCCGGTAGACACTGACAACAGGATGAACTCTCGCAATCAGCTGCTGCTCAAGATAAGTCAAGCCAGTCAGTTCATCCGGAACTGGCCCCGGGTCCATGTCATTGACAGCTGAAAACTGGCTACAACGCTTCCCACAGCGTTTTTTCCTATGGCTAAGGACAGACCTTTGACATTGGAAACATGTCTGCCAATCCACAGAGAGCATCGTCTCTTCGAACAACTGCTCCAAAGCTTCAGACTGTTCCCTTATCTGAGGGCGGTGAGGCATTGTCCGGAAATGTGCTGTGTTTGTACCCTGAAGAGAGCGAAGTATCCTAACAGTCGAGTGGCGCTGTTTCTCTTTTACAGAGTAACACCGTCGCACTATGGACTGTGCTTTCAGCACTTTCAATTGTGTACTCTTAATTGAAGTTGCTCGAACCCTAGAAAAATATTTTGATTAAAAATGTAATAAAACCGCTGATAAACTTACCGTTGTATATTACTTTACTATTTTTCTTTAATCACAATTTATTTGTAATTTGTGTGTAATAATCAGGATAATAAATAGCGTGTATACATGGTTAGTTTAATTTAATTGTATGCAAATATTGCATTATTCAATGTCATTTTGTTTTATATTTAATGTTCCCCTGATTTTGGCTTTAATGATTGCCTCTGTTTTTCTTCTCCTTGACTGTTCTTAAGGTGTTTCAGTAGCCCTAAAATGTATTAACTGTAATGCCTTTTGTGTAGATATTAGAGTTATTACACAAAAGTAATGAAATAATAATGGTACATGTAAAGGGACAAGTCAGATTCTTTATGGTATGAAAATAGACCTTGTATGTTGTATTACTTGTAGAATTTGCATAGCAGTTACCCTCGGTTTAGCTCAAGATTGGAGTTTAACACTTTTACTTCAGGATTATTCCCTATGGATAGAAGCCGTTTATAGCATGGAAGGAAACACGGAACCATTTAAAACTTTGCCAAATTTGCCTTGTATGAAGATGTTGTAATTGTAGCTTTCATGGTAAAGCTGAAGTCTGGGAAAAGACAGATGTGATAAGCTATTAAAACAGTCTCATTGCAATTTTATTTGGCTAGAAATTATCTTCTGATACTGTACATGCAAATGCTTTATGCAATGATCCGTAAGGTAGCTTATAGCATTGCAGTTTTAATTGTATTACCACCAAAGGTCTAGTTTGTTTAACTCAACCCTCCAGAATTATCAACATAAAAAATCTTTACAAACATACCCCTTGACTGTATGATTATAACAGTAATATTCTTTATGTACCTATCTTAAAAAAGGTAAACATAAGAAAACGGATATGGGTAAACTCAAAATGTACAATAATAATTTTTTGTTTCCAACAAAAGCTTTCAGTATAATACGTACCTTTTTATGGCCATTCGTTGGGTGTTTTTTATTCGGCGATGTAACGCCTGATCAGGAGTCTCGCAAGATCTGGAATTATAATCAATAAATAACTTTCAACTTACTGTATATGCTTGTCTTTTAAAATTTAGATAAATAAGTTCAAAGTTTCCATTTGTGATTCTGGCGCTGTTTCTCTTTTTCAGAGTAACACCGTCGTATTATGGACTGTGCTTTCAGCACTTTCGATTGGGTAGATAACCTCTGAATCGAAGTTGCTCGAGCCCTTGAAAAATATTTTGATTAAAAATGTAATAAAACCGCTGATAAGTAACTACCATACTGTATATGGCTTTATTATTTTTTAATAAAACGTTAATTTTTGTTTTTTATAGCAAGAAATCCAGTTTTAAAATTGTCTTATTTGATAAGTGGATATGAGAATGTATTTGTTTAGCGATAAACCTGTGAATGATTTAGAATGAGAACAAAGATATGAATATATTCCCTTTACTTGTATTTAGATTGGCGTTTTTCAACGTTTTTTTTACGTTTTCAAAATAATTGAGATTAAAACATCCAGATTGAAAGAAATTGAAGAATTGAAAGATTGTTGTTTAAATAAAATATATGCCCATTTCAAATTTTATATTTTGTCTATTAATCTGTTACAATTATAATGGAAAAGTAATCAGCCATTTAATTTCAGAGTTCATAGAATTACGTTATGAAATAGCATAAACGCAATAAATTCTATTTGCGTTTTTGCGAATACTAAATTATTCAATGTCATGTTGTTTTACGATTAATGTTATTATTTAAACTGTGTAAGTTACCTGATATTGGCTTTAAGTTTTGCGTCTATTTTTCTTCTCCTTGTCTGTTCTTTGGGTGTCTCAGTTGACCTAAAATGTATTAACTGTTATGCCTTCTGTGTAGATATTAGAGCTATATTACACAAAAGCAATTAAATAATAATGACATGTAAAGGGACAAATTAGATTCATTATAGTATGAAAAAAGTCCTTGTATTATTTGTAGAATTTGCATAGCAGTTACCCTCGGTTTAGTTCAAGATTGGAGTTTAAAACTTTTACTTTGGGATTTTTCCCTATGGATAGAAGCCGTTTATAAAAGAGATATAAATGATACCATGCTTATAGCATATGGGTAAACTCAAAATGTACAATAATAATTTTTTGTTTCCAACAAAAGCTTTCAGTATAATACGTACCTTTTTATGGCCATTCGTTGGGTGTTTTTTATTCGGCGATGAAACGCCTGATCTGGAGTCTCGCAAGATCTGGAATTATAATCAATAGATAAATAACTTTCAACTTACTGTATATGCTTGTCTTTTATAATTTAGATAAATAAGTTCAAAGTTTCCATTTGTGATTATAAGATATGGTCCAAAAATGGGCAACGTATGAATGTGTGTCTAATTCTTATACAATTATCTTTCAGTGTTTATTTGGAACTTGTGTGTAGTAAATAAACTTGGTGTAATAGGCGACAGCGAATGTGAGGATGAGAGGAATATGAGAAGAAATATTCAACACTTCTATTGCCACCATGAATAATTTTATTTTTTATAAATATTCTTTGTGAAAATGTAAAACTCTACCACACTTACCTTAACTTTTGCATTCGCAATCGAGCCTTTTCCTTTCTGGATTTAGCTGCTCCAGCCGAATCATTTTGCTTAGTTTGTTTTGTTTTCTTCTTCATTCGAGGCATCTAGTTGTATCATCACACCAAAAACATTTGAATTCTATTAGTTAGTGTAACAAACTCTAAAACAATAAATAATACCAGACACAACACTAATTGTTGCTTAATATTACACAGATTATTGTTGTATGTGTCAATTGTATGGGTAATCAAATTTAATACTTGCCGGTACTGTACATCTTATTACATGACCTTTATTAATAACTGATTACGGTACCTAATTTTGTTTAAAACATTCTATCAACATAGAATGGACATTCAGCCTGATTTTTTAGTAGGCTACATGTAATATTTTAAATTCTGAAATCTAAAGTAAATAGGTAACATATTGAAGTTGTTGAGTAAATAAATGAACAGTAAAATCCTAATTCGTGTTGACAATCTGATAAATACCTGACTTATAGGTAAAACCATAGACAAAATTACTCTAGTCAATGGTAGGCTATATAATCTTCACATTATTGAAATGCCTGTTTGCATTATCCAAAGTCAAATGGTACATTTGATTCACATAAATTGAATGGCTATTTAAAGTAACTTAAGTCATAATACATTAGACTAATTTTGGTGACCCTAATTTATTACCCTATTCTTTTTGAGTAAATTGTGCTCAAGGTATTATAATCCGATTGTTTGCCCTTTTGTTCTGTATTTGTAATGCTAGTTTAGATGATTTGTTGACTAACATAAAATGTTACAAATATTTTAATTGTTTGCCTTTTAATTGTTAGGCTATATTGAAAATAATGCCATGATGACCAATAAACCTCTTAAGATTCTTATTAAATTTCTAAAAGTTTAAATTCACGTATAGAAAAGCCCTTTATTCCAATTTGTACTAATCTAGTATTTTGGATTAATGCCTTCCCCGCAAATAGTCTTTAGTTTTTGTCGCGTGTAGTCTTTTGGTTAGTTACTACGACTATGTTAAATTTCCTGTTTACTTCAGCCTCCGCGAGGATTATGTACAAAATCAAAAAAGGGAGTGTAAGTAATATACGAGATTCCCTGGCTACGCTCAATAATTCTTAATTTATTTTAAATAATAGACCGTGGAATCAAAGCTTTGCTCAGAAAATCATTAGCATAGCCTTGAGTTGTCTAATAGCATTCTGTTTATAGCCAAATGCTAATAGTAATTAAAAGATCTTAAATAATATATTATGTAGGTAGGCTAGTTTTAGGTGGCTAGCAAACATGTGTACCAGCTGGTAATTCCATTAGCACAACGATACTGACTGTCAGCAAACTGTTGTCGTGGTGTAGTGGTTAGAGTACACGGCTGTCAACCTAGAGGTCCGAGTTCGAATCCCATCTGCATCACTATCTTTTTGACAACAATTTTGCTTAGAATGTGATTTATTCTTTGCTGTAGGCTACTTTTTTTATTTGAGGCATTTATAATTTTATTTTATGAACAGAATTATTTGTTATTAACTTTGTTTTTTAATCATTTCCCAAACAGACTGTTAAAGTTAAGTATTTATATGCTGAGTTAATGTACTTAATCGATTTGTAAAATTATTTAAACTAACTTAAACCAGTGAAACCTATCAACTTACTTGTAGACTACTAAGGTTTAATGTTATGCAATAGTGTGTAGTGTTAGTGTTACAGATTAGTAAGTAGCCTACAGTATTGATAAATTGGTGGTAGGCTAGGCCTTGTATTTTTGTTAAGACATACTTACATCTAATACTTATTAATTAAACCACAAAGCATATAGAGGCCTAAGTTTAATTTAATAATTGGTTATTCATTTTCATCTAAGTTGACACAGATATGCTAAGTCCTTTCTTAATATGGTCTATATAGGCCTAATGCCTCAACAATTTAACTTAGTAAACTCAGCATTGTATTTTCAGGTCTAAAAAGGCCTAGGCCAAGTATGTTACTTATTTACATCTAAATAAGTAAAGTGCTGTGTGACTTTTATTGGTATAAATTATCTTGTAGTGTTTTTAACGACCACCTTTCATGTTCTCCTAGCAACATTTAGGCCTACTTATTTAACAATAATTAATTGTTTTCAACGTGTAGCAACGATTAGCCTAATCCATCGGCAGGAATTTCACCAAGTAATGCATGCCACACAGGACAGATTGTTATTAATTTTGTAGTAACCTGTATTATTAAACAAACAGCTATAAAGAGTAATATCGTTATTTTATTATTAACTTACCTCTTGTACGAAGAATTTTCCTGTATTCTAGAAGTAAGTTAGTATACAGTAATGGTTGTATTACTATACAATTCAACATTCAAAATCAAATGGCAAACCGATGTATGCACAACAGCAGCTAAGTTACCATTGTTGAAGCGGGTTAGCCACTGGGATCGTGGAAAGGTCTTCGTCTTCATCTGTTTGCCAGCATTGTTGCCGGGCTAGTTACTGGGATCAAGGAACAACACAACCGTGTCGTCATTGATTTTAAAATTGTTCGTGTTGTAGTGGATAGCGCACTCGGCTGATAAACGCCAGGTGACCACTTCGTACCCTGTAGGCATCGTTAACTTTTTATCAATGATTTTGCTTATGCAGTACTTAATGCGATTTATTCATAACTGTACATCTTTGGTTAAAATTTGGGACATTTATAATTTTATTTTTTTGATGGGAATTAATTTGTTGATCAATAAATTAACATTGTGTTTTAATCAGTTCCCTGACAAATTATTTAAGGTAGGCAATCAATTAACTTATCAGAGAAAACTGTTTATTTTTCCTGGTAGCTGAAACCAGTGAAAGCTATCAACTTACCTGTATACTACTATGATCATGTTTCAAAAACAGTTTATTACAGATAAAATAGGTGAAATAGGTGATAAGTTTTGTTAAGCGATGACGTCGTTACATTTTCTCAACGCAGCATATAGGCCTAATAATTTAATAGGTTATTTATTTCCGCCCAAGCGCAAACACGAATAAATATGTTAAATCTGTTCTCATCTTATGGCCTATTTAATTTAACTTTTAAAACTTGAATATAAACCAAAGCCGTTGTGATTTAATTTTGTAAAATTATTATTTTGTATTCTAGAACTGCATACAGGTTTGCCTGTTGGTTTGCCAACAGCATGTTTTTTAATATAAAAATAGACTAACATTAAATTAAACAATGTAAACAGCTGCTTAATAGTAAATGTATTCATATTTGTGATGTAAAGCTGAGTTTTAATACTGTACATAATCTGTATACAAATTAATGCCGACTAATATAGTAAAGTTCAATTTATTATTCTGAAAGCTGTGAAATTATAATGATATATATTCATAGACGCCAAACTGTTTACTCCATGAATGAAAGAGCTTAGAATAAAAGTTGTTCTCTCTGTCTTTAGAGTTGACAACAAAATTGTTGGTCGCAAAACGTAAACAAATACAAAGAAGAAGAAGGTAGCTCCTAATGTTATTCTTATGGGACAAATTTAAAAATGTTTTTTAAGTATTTTATAATTACTACTGAGCGGAATCGTCTAGAATTTTAATGAGGTCTTCCCAGTCGTGTCATAATTATTTGTGCAAAATTTGAACGCTATAAGTGCGACGGTTCTTGAGTTTTTGGTGCGAACACACAGACACACAACTTTTCTCCGACTCCGCTAGACACGAACACGATACATAGATTCGTTCACTTCGTTCACTCATCTATAATATCCGAGAAATAATCAAATTTATAGTTTTTGATTGAGTAATCCAGTAGCTTGAGCTTAACTGATTCAAACGATCAATAGCTCAAATTAAAGCCTATAATTTACTGATTATTTTGAGTCTAAAATAAAGAAAAAAAAATAAACGGTATCAGCATTCTGACACATACTTTCTCCCATAAGTTTGTCAACAACCTTTATCATGTGTAAGCGGTGAGAGTAAATATACGGAAATGGGATTTGTATAATTTTCTTCAGAATTTAAAGGACTATAACATTAAAGGACTATTTTAGGGGAGCGAGCTGGCGTAGTGGTTAGAGCACGGGACCTCAGGGACTTCCCGGGTTCGATCCCCGCCAAGTCACCAATGGATTTTATCTAAGTGATAGTGCCGCAACCCCTAGGTTTAGCCTGAAGTAATGTGAAAAACAATCCCAGGCTCGTGCCTAGCGTCCTTAGGACAAAAAAAATAAATGGTATCAGCATTCTGACACATACTTTCTCCCATAAGTTTGTCAACAACCTTTATCATGTGTAAGCGGTGAGTGTAAATATACGGAAATGGGATTTGTAAGATTTTCTTCAGAATTTAAAGGACTATAACATACTAAATTTTTATCAAAATCGTTCGAGCCAATATTGGGAAAATATGATTTTCCGTTATTTTATGGGGTTTTTATGGGGAAATACCATAATTTACAATAACTTTTGAACCGTAATTTTTACAGAGATGGGATTTGTACCATTTTGTTCAGAATATAAAGGACTATAACATACTAAATTTTTATCGAAATCGTTCAGGCCATTTTTGGGAAAATCTTTTTTTTCCGTCATTTTATGGGGTTTTATGGGAAAATACCCATTAAAAATAAAAATTTCTAAGAAATGAGAAAAACTATCAAAATTGTAAGGATCATAACATACTATGTTAAATAAAAACGGATTTTTTTGTCTAAAATCCTATTTTCGTTATTTTATAGGATTTTTATGGGAAAATAACATAATTTACCATAACTTTTGAACCGTAATTTTTACAGAAACGGGATTTGTACCATTTTGTTCATAATTTAAAGGACTACAACATACTAAATTTTTACCAAAATCGTTCGGGCCATTTTTGAGAAAATCCGATATTTCCGGTTTTTTATGGGTTTTTATGTGAAAATCCCCATTAAAAATCAAAATTTCAAAAAAATGAAAAAAAAGCCTGGAGATACCATGGATTAGAACCTACATACCAAATTTCATCGAAATCGGACCACAGGTGTAGTCTCTAGCTCTGTACACATCCAGACACACAGACACACAGACACACACACACACACACACACACAGACATCACTTCGAAAACCAC